TAAGAATCTCACGTGTGTTAGCTCATTTAATCCTTACCACAACTCAGTGGGATACATATTGTTATGAGTCCCTGTTTACAGATGAGAAAATAGGCACAGGGAGGTGAATGATCCCCTCCTGAGTGTAGAGGCAGGCTTGGAATCCAGACAGCCTACCCCCTAATCTGTGCTCTGTACTGCAATGCCTGTTGAATGGCAGGTGGATGATGGATCGTGTCTGGATACTAAGTGCCTCGCAGGCACCCAGTAAGCGACAGCTGTCATTATTATCACCATGGTGTCCACACTCCCAGGCATGCGTGCCTTTTATTTTTCTATTTTTTTAAGTTTGTTTATTTATTTTGAGAGAGGGAGGGATGGAGGGGCAGAGAGAGAGAAGGAGAGAGAATCCCAAGCAGGCTCCACTCTGTCAGCACAGAGCCCGATGCAGGGCTCAAACTCATGAACCATGAGATCACGACTGCAGCCAAAACCAAGAGTCAGATGCTTAACCGACTGACCCACCCAGGTGCCCCAGGCATACATGCCCTTTAACGGGGATAAGTTCTGCTTTACTCACCTCTGTGTGCTCAGCACATTCCACCCACATGGTAAGGACTAAATAAATATTTACCAAATGAATGAAAAAAACTCATGACAGAAGTATAAGGAATGTCCTAGGGTGCCTGGCTGGCTCAGTTGATCCCGGATCTCAAGGTTGAACATGCGATCCCGGATCTCAAGGTTGTGAGTTCAAGCCCCACAGTGGGTGTAGAGGTTACTTAAAAAGGATATGATCCTACCTTCCTTATATATGTTTAAATTAAATTCCAGTTTTTAAATTATGTGATACTTACATGTTGTCCTATTGAAAGTTGTAGGAAGGATAAAGAGCAGAAAATCCCTCTTCCGTCAGGGCCACCCCCTAGCACAACTCCAGAGGGCACCACTCACCTAAAATACAGTGTGGCAGCCACTGCTCCTGCTCAGGACCCCATCCACCTAATTTCCCTCTCTGTGGCCACAACTGATATCAAGCTCTTTTCCATCTTTACAGAGATAGTTTACATGCATTTGAATGGATCATGGGTGTGTTATTCAACATAGAATCCTTTACCTTACCTTGTTCATTTTATGTCTTTGGGAGATTGTTTCATACCGGGTGTATAGAGTAGCCTCATTCTTTTTAATGGTTACACAGTATCTCATTGTGCCGTATGGATGTACCATAGTTTAGCTATGCCTCTATTTAATCAGCCCTCTATGTATTTACCCAACCTGTATTAGGTTGTTTCTACATTGTTTCTCTTACAAATAGTGCTGCCATGTGCTCCCATCATTCCACCTGGCTGTTTGAGAACATCTGGAGCATGCATTCCTAGAATTGGATTACTTGGGTAAAGCAGAGAAATGACTTTCTAATGGTGGAATTCCAGGCATCTGTGACAGGCATAGCTGAGGTATTTTTATACTGGGCTTTGGGGTGTGTCAGATCCTTCTAAGGAATTGATGGTCTGTGGGCCCCTCTCTGGTGTATCCCAGGCTAGGGAATGATATCTGTGGGCTTGATAGTTTGTTACTCTCTAAAGAGAAAAAAGAATTCACAGTGGAAGGGTAAGCTTCTTAGAGTCCAACTAGTGCTCAATGATTAGATCCCTTACTTAGAGTAAGGCCTTACTGGGTATTGAGACACTTGGGCCACGCAGGGCCACTCAGCAGTGAGTTCACTGGAGGCCCTGGTGGAAAGCCAGAGAAGTTCAGGGTTCAGTCCCCAAAGGAACATATGGACTCAAGAGACTCTGGTTCTGGAATCACCTTTTGGGGGAAAAGGGGAAAGTCCTTGCTATTCCTACTGAGGATGTGGTTCTTATTAACACCAGAGGATGGATGGAAGGAGGGAGGGATGGATATATAGACACATAGGCATAGAAAGGTAGATATCAGTCAAGCAAGCATGAATTTAGACTTATTTTGGGGTTTAGGCTGTACCACTTAATAATTATCAGACTAGGGAGCTTCTTTGATCTCCCCAAGACCCCATTCTTTGTCCAAAATGGGATTAACAGTGTCTTTTTTGTGGGGCAGTGGTGAAGAACCAATGGTTGTAAACCAAAGAGGGTAAAGGGTCTGGCACAGTGCCTGGCATACAGTGGGTTCTCATATATGGTAGGGTGGCAGCTACCATCATTTATTATATGACTGGGCACTCTGTCATTGGTGTATTGACAATTGCTAATGAGCATGTCCTTCATGCTCCATTTGGCCCCTGCCTTCAAGGGGGATGACTCTGTAGGGTAGGGGTTCTCAGCCTTCTTTCCCTCCCAACATGCACAGTGGGTAATATTCAGGTGACTGGCACACTCCCAGCATGCATTTCACAGGGCAGGATTTCATGCTACACTTATTTAATCTCCAGGCCAGCAAAGCAACATTATTACAGGAATGACCTAGATCCACTTAAACTTATATTAAAACAATAAATAAATAAACGAAAGGAAAGGCAATCACCCTCAGATTTTGGTCTTTTGACTACAATTTATTTGCAAACCAGCTCCCAGCTTCCACCTGCTGTCTTATAGAGTAAAAATGAGGGGCGACAGCTAACAGGTACCAGTGAGGGCTCTCATTTCGGTGGGTTTGGGGTAAGTTCTATTCTCTCCTCTAGATATGAAGTGAAGGCCATTACCAGAGGAGTCTGGCCACTGTCCCCGCTTGATTATGGAATGGTTCTCTCTTCGACCTTTGCTGAGTGCCTGGCTGAGGTGCTAACATTTCTGCAGTGACCCTGGGAAAACACAGACATCCACGACCTTAGCCGGTGCCTCAGATGCTTGGCCAAGGGGTCAGGCCGGCCAGGTCCAGGAGGGCTCTCTCAGTCCAGCAGACAAGCTCAGTCTTGACCTCCCAAAGCAGCTGCTTTAATACTCAGTATCTTCAACTGGGGAATGGAATCCAACCTCACCTGACCCTCCCAGCACCCAACCCCCTCAGCCCAGCAGGACCAACTGTTCTCTCCTCTGTGTCCCCGAAGCACTTGTTCTGTGGCTATTAAAGCACTCACCGTCAGTTTAAAACACATCTCTACCCCTTCCAGGGCAATACTTCTTATATTTTGTTTGTTAAAGTTTTTATACGATCTCAAATTTTTCATTAAAATGGCCGTGGGGTTTGCTTGGTTTTCTACCTATGAGATTGGAGTTGAAAACTGCATTGGTGGTTTGGAATCCCATTGGGTTCTTCTCTAGGTAGAAAGGGCTGTGGAAAATCTGGCTTGTCCAGAACCTTCACTGGGGACACCACCCTTGAATCCTGCTTTCATCCATTGTGCAGTCAGCTAGCCATTCAACAAACACTGAACTACACTTTTGTGCCAGGCACTGTGCTAGACATGTAGTATATTGAGATGAAGACGACATGGGCTGTGCCTTGGAGGCCAACACAATGAGACTGTCTAGCCCTGGATTGTTGTAAATTGAAGTATAGGTGACCTACAATGTTGTAGTAGTTTCAGGTGTACAAACACAGATTTGACAATTCCATACACTGCACAGTGCTCACCAAGGTAATTGTCGTCACCATCTGTTAACCACACAAAACTACTGCAGTATTATCGGCCACATTCTCTATGCTAGACTTTTCATCTCTGTCATTTCGTTCGCTTCTTCATTTGTCGAACCCTAGATTCCGCTGACGGTTGAAACCTCCTTCTAGAGCATGTTAACCTTAAAGAGAAAACTGCCGGCCATTTTACCAGCAAAAACGGGTTTATTTGGAAATAGCAGAGAATTGCAATCCCAGGACGTGCAAGCTGTGGCAAAGCTACAGGCAAGGCCAGAGGCAAGTCCGGGGAGCAAAGGGGAGGTAGGTAGCTCCTTTCCAGAGGGAAGGGGGAAGATGGGAGAGCTGTTATAATCCGGAAGTCCATTGGAGTAAACTGGGAGTTCGAAGGGTAGCGCCTCCTGATTGGCTGAGCTGTGACTGTCATTGGCGGGGCTGTTGCCAGGAGAGGAGGAGACCTTTCCTTCTCCTGCTGGGGCAGTAAACTAGTAGCTAAAGTAGTATTGGACTTGGTAAGGTGTAGGTCTTCCTTTTGGGGCTGTGAGAGCTCCCCCTGCTGGCCTCCCTCCTCCGTTTTAAACTCAACCATAACCTGAACTAAACTGGTTTCCTTTCATTAGTTTTCACAAGAAGTCAACATACAGGATTCCTTTCTGAATGCAATTTCCTGGAGCTTTGACACCATCTCTGTATTTAAAAATCTGCAGTATTTTTTTTTCATCCACCAAAAATCTCTGTAAGGCACTGTACCTGGAGTAGCAGGGTGGGGTGGTGGGGCAGGGAATATAAAGAAGAAAACATAAAATCTGTTCCTTCTAGGCACCTAGATCTAAACAACAGAAGTCACACATAGACAGAAAATCTGGCCTATTCTTTCATTTGTGATTGCACGTGGCATGCAGTCGCTTGTTCATCTGAGCATAAGTATTTTTGGTGTGTGCTATGTGCTTTGGCTGTCATAACACCGCGGGAGGCCCAAGATGTGAACCTGCTCTCTGGGTATTTGGGGTCTCCCCGGGAAAGAGGAAGGGGGTTCAGAGTCCAGTAAAACATCAGGCCAAAGTCAGTGGCTCAAAGAATGCTCTGGGGGCAAGGAGACCCGGCAACCAGTCGGCATGAGCCTACTGGGTGCTTCATAGAGGCGGAGGATTGGAACCTGTACTGAGGAATGGAAAGGTCTTCAGGAGGGAGGGAGGGAGGACATCCTGGGCCAGGGGAAGGTCATGAACAAAGGTCTTGAAGTGTTAGGAGTTTCTCACTAGAAACTGAGACATGAAGGGGATGGGAATAGGGTGGGGAGAGTCTGCTCCAAACAATGCCCACTTGGGCCAGGACCAGGTAGGGCCGGGGGTGGGGTGTGGTGATGGATACCTGACGTCGAATCTGCCCCCTGCAAGGAAGCTGAGCTTCTCATTTGTTCCTCTTCCTTCCTTCACCCAGACTCTGGCCCGTTCAAAGACAACATGATAACCTTCAGTCTTCCCTCTGCCATAAGGAGCTTGATCCTACAGAAGACACCAGACATCAGAAATATGTCCAGCATGGCTGGGGTAAGTAGTGATAGACGTTTAAAAAAGAAGAAAGAAAATCCCTAGAAATACCAGTGGTGCAGGGCTCAGGAATTCCTGAAACTTGTAGCTTCTGCCTGGGAGACAGGAAGTAAGAGCAGGATGATATTTGCTCGGGTCCCTAATTAATGTCCCAGCAGGTCTGGCAGTTGGGCCAGACTCAGGCTGAACACCTTACCAGATGGCTCCGGTACCACCAGTTCTGCTTGGTCAACCCAGCTCCACGGGGGGACCTGCCAATGGCCTCAGATGACGAAAGGGGTTTTCCCTCAGGGGGAAAAGCACCCCCAGATAACACTGCAATTTAATCTGGTTTTTGATTCAGACCACGTCTCCCCGTTTTGTTCCTCTCTGGGTGCACCGTCTCCCCAGTCTCTTCCAGGAGTGACACTCAAGGCTCTGAAAGGTCCTGTGAGAGAAATCAGCCATCAAAGTTGTCACTGACGCAAGTCCCAGCAAAATTTCATGATACGAAAGACTTCCGGTTACCAGAATCGCCGAAGAGAAAAACCAGTAGCATGGTTTAAAGTGCTGGAGCAGGACAGTTTTCACTGTTTATTGACATATCTGGCCTCTGTGGCTATTTCTGGACCAACAGAATTCTCTATTATTGCATAACAAAGCACCCCAGACTCACCGGCTTAAGCGATATTCTGCAATGACGCTGGCCGTAGCAGGGGTTTTTTCTGCTTCACGTGTTACCATGTCTGCTGGGGCTGGACCATCCATGATGGCTTCTTCCTCACATGTCTGGAGTGTCTACTGGGAGGCCCAGAGCACTTGGGGGCGGCCTAATGCTTCTCTCTTGCTAGGAAACCTCGCCAGCAGTGGTAGCCAAACTTCTTTACAGGGTAGCTCAAGATTCCTGGAGGAGGAGCCGTAATGCCCAAGCACGTATCAAACACCCGCTTGCGTCATACTTCCTACCATCCCGTTGGCAAAGCAAGGCACGTGGCCGAGGACAGAGTCAACGGGGAAGGAGCCACTCAGGGCTGTGAGCCCTAGGGAGCGTGCTTTGTAGAGAGCCACCAGGGTCATAGTCTCCCCCAACCCTGTACACAATGTACCAGCAAACACCAGCTGAACCCCAGTGCTTGCTAGCACCTCGGGGCTCCAAGAGAGCAGAGCGTACCAGTCTGGATGTAAGTCCCAGCTTGGCTCCTTCTGGCTGTAGCTGTGGGTAAGGTGTGTGACCTCCCTAAGCTCACCTGCACCCTGAAAGTAACAGTTCAGTCCTCCCTCAGGAGCTGTCAGGAGGGGTAACTGAGTCAGTGGGGGTAAGATGTACCATCCAAGTCAGCCGCTGTCATGGAATGTTCCGCAAGGAAAGAATCTCATTTGCAGAACAGCTGGAGCACCTCAGCTCGGGACTATGTCTTCCGGGGCTTTATATCAGATTAGGAACATTAGAGGTGCTTTTTTTTCCCCTCTCCCGTCATTAGGTTAAAAAAAAAAAAAGAATGGACAACTTTGCTTTGAGGTAAAAGGACTCAGAAGGCTCACTTTGTTTCTCCTCACAAATAAAAAACTGTCATGACCTTAGATGGAGCCGGAGAGACCCAGGCAACACAGGAATCAGTTCAGACCCTCCCCTCACTCATCCACCCCCCCCCCACCCAAAAGCCACCACTGAGCCCTCCATTGGTGTCTTGTTACTAATGGGAACAACTGGGGACTTGGTACCATCAGCAGTGGAGATGAACAAAATGAAATCACAGTGCCCTCTGAAGTGCGTTTAATTAAAAAGGAAACAAAGAAGCTTTGTGCTCATAATACCTCTCTGATTTGCGGTATTAAAAATCCAATTTGCTCTCACAACAGGCTTTGGAGGCAAGAAAGGAGGCGGCTAGGGAAAGCCAGGCTTCTAGGCTGGCTGGATTCCCTTCCACCTCACTCCAGACTATTTTTGGAGACACGCTGGGCTTGCTTGAGACATGCAGTCAGCTTCCTTGGGCTTTCAGCGGCTGGGAGTGTCCAGCTCGTCCCCATTTTCAAAGTCTGTAGCATTGGCAGGCACCGAGGGTTTGAGGCAATGAGTTCCAGGATGTTAGAGCAGAAGCTGGGGCTAGAACTTTCCGTACGGATGGTTGCATCTGCTTGTATCCACTTCTTTCTACCATCCCTGAGGAGGAAGGTGCCGGAATGGGTGATGGACCCATCCTATGAAGGTCTGATGCCTGCAGTCCAATGGTGACCCTAGAGGGACTCAGGGGTCCCCTGTCTCAGGCTTAAATCCTGGCTCTGCCATGCCCCAGCCATGTGAAGTCACTTCATCTCTTTGAGCCTTGTTCTCCTTACGTATAAAATATAAGTGATTACATCTACAAATGACTTAGCACAGAGAGCTAAGGAAAATATCAGAGCTAAAGAGAAAATACTAGCAGACAGTATCGTTGTGGAAAAGAGATGCCCACATGTTGATACGGCAACCTAGCATTTAGGAGAATTGTCACCAAGATTATTTCTCCAAAAGCAGCATAATTATGTTTTTCTTTGGGATGGTGTGTTTAAAGGAAATAATCCCTTAAAAAAAAACAAACCATAAGTTTTCTTGTTTGTTTTTTCCTCCAGTTACAGAATGATACCTGTTTATTACGTAAATTTTAGAATTGAGAAAAGCACAGAAGAGAACATTAAATATCACGCAGTCTTGATACAGGAGATAACCGTGATTAACATGTAGATGTATTTCCTTCTAGTTATTTCTCTCATGAACTGTATAAAAAGGAGAATATGCCCCAAATATGGTTTTGTTATCTAGTTTTGTTCCTTTAACCATACGTTACAAACCATCATTAAATATTCCTTCAGTACCATAATTGTAAATGTCCATGCAAGAGCCCATATTCATGCCTCCAACCCCTACTTCCTGTACACCTGTGTGTTAGGTAATTAACACACAGGAATGAACTCCCAGAGTTCTCTTTGAGGCAGGTGTCATTACTGCCATCTCCTCCTTGCGAATTCCAAGGCTCAGGGGCACACTGCTGGTCAGAGGCCGAATCGGGATTCAAACACAGGTTTGTTTAGCTGTCAAAGGACTTCCCATTCCAGAAGAGGGCTCCTTACCACAGGAGGTGGTGTCATGGCAAGTGGGGGGTCTTCCCCCATAGCTGAAGTAAGACCACCTCCTTGGAGGGGGAGTCAAGGATTCTGTGAGCCTGCTCAGTCAAGAATCTGCCCAGACAAAAGACATGAGCAGTGTCTTTCCCACAAAGGATACCCAAATGGCCAATAAAACCTATGAAAGTCACTCGACCGCATTGGTCTTCAGGGCAATGCAAATTAAAACTGCAGTGTGAGGCCACTACCCACCTGCCAGGGTGGATGGAATGGAAAAGATAGGCAACAGCAAGCACGGGAGAGGATAAGGAACAAGCAAGAACTTGCAATATAAATTGGTACAACTGCTTTGGAAACCGCTTAGCTGAACATGTATATACCCTGCAACCCTAGGGGTATGCCAGACAGAAATGCACCCCAACATGCGTGTATTAAAATGCTCATGGCAGCACCATTTATAATAACCCCAAACTGGAAGACATTCAAATGTCCATCCACAACAGGATTGGGTAAATACATTGTGGTAATGAGTATGTCACACAGCAATGAGAATGAACCAGCTGTTGTCAAACACAAAGGTATGGATGGATCTCCCGGACATACGATTGAGTGACAGAAGCCAGACTCAAAAGGCTCACATTGTATGATTCCATTATATGAAGAACAGGCAAAAGTAACCCATGGTGTTAGAAGTCACGGTAGCGGCCACCTTCGAGGCTGGGGTGATGAACTATAAGGGGCATAGAGGGATTCTGGAATGTTGATAATGTTTCTTGACCTGGGTGTCAGTTACGTGTTCATCAAGTTGTACACTTACGGGCATCTTTCTGTGCTGTGCTACGATAAAGAGTTAAAATTGAAGGGCTCTACCAAGAGGCAACCGACTATGCCTGTGTCCCTTCTCTCACCAAACTCAGGGCTCCGACCAGCCAGCATGGTGGTCCTGCACAGGTCCCTGGCTCCAGCCTTTGAAAAGTTCCGCCAAACCAACAATGGCCCTCTGCCCCTCCTGGGCCTGACTGAGCCAAGCAAGTGGACGTTGCCTACCCCGAACGCTGTTCTGGACACCAGGTAAAATGCTTGGGTTACCAGGGTTCAAGCTTGGGAGTGGCCACATGCAGCAGCCAGGTGTGTCTGTCAACGGGGACCTCTTTGTCCAGTCATGGGGATGCTCAGTACCTGGTACAAGGCCTCACCCATGACTCTTGCTCAGGGATAAGCTGTCCTCCCCTCCATTCCCATCCCTGTCCCTGTCCCTGCCCCTTGCCCTGGGAAAAATCTTGGGGATCACCAAGATAGTCCTGCCCTGGCTGCAGAAATGCCGCTGGCACCTCCCATCATCCACTTCCTCACCCAAGCCAGAAATCGGAAGCACTGGATGAAGAAGAAAGTAAAAACACTTGCATTACTGATACCTACCCAGGGAGAGCCGTTATTAACACTGTTGGTATGGGCCTACTGATTCTGCTTCCTCCATAGCATTCCAACGAGCCCACCTTTCTCCCACGACCCCAGCTCAGGCTCACATCTCTTCTGCTCGCCCACCTGAGTGACTTTTCCTAAATGCTAGGTCTGATCACATGACTCCCCCCTTTAAAATCTTCAGTGCCATGGAGCGCCTGAGTGGCTCAGTTGGGTAAGCATCCAACTTCGGCTCAGGTCATGATCTCATGGTTTGTGGGTTCAAGCCCTGCATCGGGCTCTGTGCTGTCAGCTCGGAGTCTAGAGTCTCCTACGGATTCTGTGTATCTTGGTCTCTCTGCCCTTCCCCTGCTCATGCTCTGTCTCTCTTCTCTCTCAAAAATAAATAAATAATTTTAAAAATAAAAATAAATAAATAAATAAATAAACTCTTCAGTGCCTTCCCATGACTTGCACCTTGGCCTGATACCTGGTCACCTGTAGTGACCAGGCCCTGGCTCAGTGTCTCCCCTCCCCCGTGACGCTCCAGCCATCCCCAGCCATCTCCCCAGAGAGAAAGCTCCCCCAGAACATTCTGCTGCTACCATTTTGTGGACACTGGGCTAGGAGAGTCCTTCAGAGACCCCACCCAGACCTGAGGTCAGCTCCTTCTGTTTTTTTCCTAGCACCCCCTAGGCTACCATCTTGGGGACGCTTAGAGCAGATCGCACAGTGTGTCACATGTTTGATGCCTCCATGCTGCTCACATACTGTTCCCTCTGCCTAGGATGTGCTTTCCCCCTTGTTCAGCTGGTGAACTCCTATTCATCCCTCAGGATCCAGCTCCAGCACCTTCCCCTTTGTGGGGGAGAATGAGTTCCTCCCTTCCATGGGTCACTCCTCCACCCATACTGTTAACACTCACTGCTCTGTGTTGCAAGTATTTGTTTTCAGTGCAGTCTCACCGCCAACGTAGGATTGCATACTTCTTATGGGCTGGGCTGATGTCCTGTGTCACTGTTGTCCCATCACTTGGCTTGTGCTTGGCACAGAGGAATGGCTCAACAAAATAATTTTGGAGTGAATAAAGAACTGGCTTAAAACCATAATATTTTAATTCTACAGAAAAGTCTCTTTTTTTAAAAGATTTTTTTAAGCTTATTTATTTATTTTTGAGAGAGAGCACAAGTGGGGGAAGAGCAGAGAGAGAGAAAGAGAGAGAGAGAGAGAGAGAGAGAGAGAGAGAGAATCCCAAGCAGGCTCCACACTGTCAGTGCAGAGTCCGACATGGGGCTCAAACTCATGAATCTGAGCCGAAATCAAGAGTCGGAGGCCTAACCAACTGCGCCACCCAGGGACCCCATCCCCCATTCTTTTTAAAAATGCACGGTCAGGGGCCATCTTGATTCTGGAACTATGAGCTTCCCCCCAGGACAGGGTGTCCCTAGTTCCGGAAGTACGAGTTTGTTGCCCACAGAGGCAGCCTGACCTCATTGGAGGAGTACTCGGAGCAGCTGAGGGACATGGTGACCTTCCTCCCGGACTGCAGCTCCTCCCTGGAAGCAGCCTTGGAGAAGGTGGGGCTCCCCAGAAGAGACTCCGTAGGGCATGGTCACGTGGGTGTGTACGAGGTAGGACACAATCTCCAAGGGCAGAATGACCTGAAAATGTGCATCACCTTGTATTTTCCTGTGGTGGGGAGAACATGCACTCAGGAGGTCAGAGACTAAAGTGACCTCAGCTCAGCCGCTCTCTTGCTGTGCAACCTGACAAGTGGTTAACCTCTCTGAGCTTGTCCCCTCATCTGGAAAATGGAATGTCCAGCCTCCCTCGTGCCCACCTCTGGGATTGCTGTGAGCTCCCAGGGTGGCCTTGAGTGTGCAAGTCAAGCCCTTATAAGACATTGTGGCAACCGTGTAAACCAAACCTGTCTGGAATTTGTCTGGCTCCTTTAACTTAGAGCATCTCAGTGAGCTTTTTGAAAATCCTCCTTGGCTCAAACTTCCTGGCATCGGGCAGAATGTGCCTGGCCAGGTAAATGCCCCGGGGATTTGTGGCAGGGCCTTGGCCAGCCTGTTGGCTGCCGGGTTATGTTTCTGTCAGGAGAGCTGGGTTCTGTTCTTGGCCAGCGGTGGCCCCTGGGGGTCGCCTCTCCTGGGACGTGCCCGCTGCTAGGGGTCACCTCCCTGCTGTGTCTCTGAAGTTCCATTCCAGCCACTGCTTGTCAAGGCAGGAGAACCAGATTCCCTCATTCCCCTGACCCCCCTCCAGGACATCGTGTGAATCAGCCCACGTCAACGGCTGGTCAGCCAGCATCAACGGCCGGCTGCAGGGTCCTCTATGGAGGACTTGGACTGCAGATTTTGTCTTGGGCTTCCGGACATTTATTGAAACTTGCCTGGTTTGGGCTCCTGCCAGAGAGGCCCGAGCTGCCTCCGATGAGAAACAATTTTCATGAGTGAAGCATGTGCCTGAGCAGTTTCTTAAAGGTAGGGAAGGGCGGAGACAGAAGTACAGTCACTGGCAGGGGCCCTGGGGCAGAGGTGGCCCCCAAACACACCACCCTTGGCAGCAGGTACATCATGGGCAGTCTGTCATTGAGATGAGGAAACTGAGGCCTGGAGAGAGAAAAGGACTCGCCCATATCCCAAAGCCAGACCGTACCCTAGGACTCCTGGCTCCCGTTTATGAAATGTCACTAGTAGAAGTGTGACGATTAAGGGATGCTTTGCACAGCATGTTCATCACTGCCATGGTCAGGGGATGCCATGGTTTTCTCATGACAGCTCACTTACCAAATAGCCTTCTGTTCAGTACGGTTGCCTCTGGCCCTTGGCTCCTGGGAGATACGGCCAGGCAGCCATCTTGGATTCAGGTGGGGCCCTGAGGGGCAGTCTCGGGGAGCACTGCCTGTCCCCTGTGAAAGTCCCTGACGCGTGTCCCTTCCCCAGTGCTGTGATTCAGACACCAACCGGGCAGGCACGCCAAGGTTTCATCCTGTGGCCACCAGGGACTGCCAGGGAGGAAAACTTGTCCCTTCTTCCCTTCTAGGCCCTTTGGCTGGTCTAACACTTAGATCGACAGGAGGTGGATTAACAGGAGAAAACTAAATTTAATGTCATACCTACAGGAGCCCCAAATATGTGAGGCTCGAAGAAGTGACCAAAACAGATAGCTTTTACACCTTTCAGACAAAGAAACAATGAATTTGTGAAGAATTGGTAAGACAAGTTTGAGCTTGGGGTAGTAAATTCACAAGGAGGTCACAAGGTTTGTTTACACAGCCCTCTCGGCCTTGATTTCCCATCTCTGGAGATAAAGATGCCTTCTACCCTCTTGGTACGGGGAGGGTCCCTTCACGTGGGAGGATTATTTCCTGCTTTTCAGCGGGGGGGGGGCTGGAAAGGGGTGTAGAGTGTTTTTCTTGCACTGGCGGTTTCTCAAGTAACTTTAATTCAAAACAATCCGTATGCCAAACTGGTGTATTTTGGGGTGGCATTTTCCCCCCTCAGTGCCAACAGCAAGCCCTTTGGGCAGCAGCCACGTCCCAGTGGATCATCATCCTGGCCACATCCTAAATCATTCATAAGCCCCACGGCAGCCACCAGAAACCATTCAGACCACAAACACCGCCACCAGTGAAAGTCACACAGGTCATTCTAAGGCAGGAGGAGTGAGGCAGGGCTCAGTGGGGCCCCCATCCCCAGTGTGGACTCACGAGGCAAAGCAGATCCCAATGCCTCCTGAGAGATCCCTTGTCCTTGGAACCCTCTGCCGCTGACTGTCTTAGAGGTCTTCACCTGCGGTCCACGGACCCCTAGAGGTCTGTGGAGAAAATTCAGAGGACCCATGAAATTGGATGGGGAAAAAATTACATCTTTATTTTTATAGCTTCAGACTGAAACTGAGCATTTCCTTTGATTATGAACTCAGACAAGGAACTACAGTTGTATCAGCAGACCCTGTCATTTTGTGGCTGCCCAGAGAACTCCCAGATAGTTTCATGTCTCATGGCCAGTCTGATAGCACAAAAATATCCTGTATGTTGATCACTACACCAAAATTATAATGGTAGGTCTGCCGTCTTGTTCCCCAAGCTGTTAATGAAGGATACATATCGCTGCATCACATTTTTTCATAATTTGATAACTGCATGTGCAATATAATTGGTTGGCTTTGTAAACCTGTGCGTTTCTTTTCCTGTAGTTAAAAACATTGCTTTAAGTGGGGGTCTGCAGCTGCTCCAAGCTACCAGAGCATCCACAGCACATACAAGGTTCTCTGTTTTAGACCAATAAATACCAGCAGGCTTTCTCATTTCTATGTCACATAAAAGTAGAAGCAACATGGGGCACCTGGGTGGCTCAGTTGGTTGGTTGAGCGTCTCTCCGACTCTTGATTTTGGTTCAGGTCATGATTACACAGTGTTGCGGGTTCAAGCCCCCCATCTGGCTCTGCGTGGGTAGAGAGGAGCCTGCTTGGGATTCTCTCTCTCCCTCTCTCTCTCTGCCTCTCCCCTGCTGGCACTGTCTCTGTCACTAAATAATAATATAATATAATATAATATAATATAATATAATATAATATAATATAATATATTAAATCAGTCTTAAAAACAAACAAAAAGTAGAAGCTATAATTTTATAATAGCTGCTTGGATCCCCTCTTTCATTCAGCTGCTTTGAACTCCTGGTGTTCAGGCTTTCCATCTGTGTTAATTCTGTTTTTCAACTTGTTTTCCTTGATTTCTTTTCAGACGACAGCGCCTTGTGCCACCATTGCTGGCTTTTGCTGCCACCTGGTGGTCACAATGCGGCCCATCCCCAAGAACAAGCTGGAAGGGCTGGCGCGGGCCAGTTGCTCCCCAGGGAATAAGGGACATCCCATTCATGTCGGCGACCCGGGTGAGTGTCCACTCTCATTCAGTATTCTGACAGCCACCCCTGAACTTCAGCACGAGAAGACGGGAACCTGCTATGTTCCCGAACTCCCCCGGCTTGTCCTCATCTTCCCAGGGGTCCTGGGCGTCCTGGACGAGGATCAGACTCCCGCAGCAGCTTTCGGGCTGGGTTTACAGAGGTCCCTCAGGTTTAAAGGTGTTGCCCTTGGCAGAATAGTCAGCCTCACCCATCATCTCCCATGAACTTAAGGTGAACCTGAAGGGTTGGGGGAAGCAGGTGGTAGAGAGTGACAGCACAGCTATGTGTCCCGGGACTTGAGCTGAGAGCAACCTCTAATCCAGGCTGTTGGTCAGCAGTGTATTTAGCAGGGGAAGGCTTTGTTCCAAATGTTCACTTCAACTGATCCCCAGGGTATTAACTCAGTCTGAGAGTGAGTGAGCAGATCCAAGAGTGGCAGCTGTCCAGGCCTCTTTGTGGTTCTCAGAGGACCTGGTGAGAACCTGGGATTGGGTCTTGGGTGAGAGTCAAAGCTCAGTGTAACTGAATTTGCTCAGCTGTGTAAAACGAACCAATCAGACAAAACCTGCTTTCTCTAAAGATGCAATCAACAGTGGGGCCACCTTTCTCTTAGAAAGATGATCTCAGGACCCCCCAAAGCAAAGTGCATTGATGAACCATTGAATTGTCTTCTCATCGGTGGGCCTGGGTTGGCCCAACACATCCATCTTTGCTGTCCTCATGAGCCTTCTGATGCCAGACCATCAGTAGGGGTGCTGTTGGTGGTTAAGCAACAGAGTTTAGGTCTGCGTTATGTGACTCAGCTTGTACCAAGATAAATGTGGGCTCACAAATGCTGGCTTGGTTAGCAACCTGCACAAGGTGCTGGGCTAAGTGCACCCAAGGCTCCTCCAGCAATCAAACCAGGTTTGAGGTTCTGTGTTCGGAAACTGTGCAACTCAGAATGTGCCAGAAGTTAGCAAGCGCCCTGGGTTGTTAAAGTCCCAATTCCTTTTCTCCAGTACCATCGACAGCAATCCTAGGACCAGAGTTTGTCTGGGAGAAAGAAGCATAAACCACTCAATGTGTGTCAACTTGGATGGGACCTACCAGGGCAGGATCCGATGGACTTCATTTTCTTTTTCCATTTGCAGAATGGTTGGGAATCAAAGATCTTTCTAGACCTGACTATGGGGAGCCTGTGGTGTGTCAGCCGGGGGACGTCCCAGTGTTCTGACCTTCTCCAATGACCAGCCTCGAAGCTGTCAGCAGCTGCAGTGTGTCTGGGTTTATGGGGCACAATCACCATGACCCACGATGGAAACCAGTGGGGCTGTAGTTCTTGAAAGCATAGACTCACAGTGCAGTGATTTAAGAAATAGAGTCATAATGGGTGCCTGGGTGACTCAGTTGAGTGTCCGACTTCGGCTCAGGTCACAATCTCACAGTTTGTGAGTCCGAGTGCTGCATTCGAGCCCTGCTCACGCTGACAGCGCAGAGGCGGCTTTGGATCCTCTGTCCCCCCTTCCCTCTGCCCTTCCCCCCACTCATGCTCTCTCAAAAATAAATAAACATTAAAAACAAAAAAGAAACAGAGTCACAAAACAGAACACAAAGCATACAGATCTCACTGGCTTCCTTCTTCCCTTCCCAGGGCTGGGTCTCACCAGCAGCTCGTCTCTCAGCCCAAGGATGCTTTGATTAAAATATTTCTCACTGCAGAGGGCTCCCAGCCCATTGTGATAGAAAGACCAATATTTAGCTTGACTCTCTGAGACATTTTGAAGGTGGGTGGAGCTTGTGAAAACAAGAGCGAAGGCAAAAGCACAGCTAAACACACCATTCCACGTGGTGTTGGCAAGGTGCAGCGGGCCCCCCTCATCTTCAGTTCTGCCTCGGGAGGTTTGTTACCCACAGTCAACTGCAGTCAAGAAGCAGATGATCCTCCTTCCGATGAATCGTCAGAAGGTCAGTAGTGGCCTCCCACTCCATCACAATGCCTGCGGTCGCTCACCTCGCTTCATTCAGCTCTCACGCAGGCACGTTATCACCTCACATGGTCACAAGAGGAAGGGTGCGTACAGTACCGGAAGGTATTTTTAGAAAAGGAGACCACATTCACATAACTTTTATTATAGTATATTGTTATAATTGCTCTATTATTAGCCTTCTTAATCCTACTGTGCCTAATTTATAAACTAAACTTTATCATAAGGATGTACATATAGGGAAAAACATAGTCTGTAGGGTTCGGTGCTATCCGCGGTTTCCTGTCCATGGAGGGTCTTGGAACAGATCTTCATCCGGCAGGACCTCCGTATTTGAAAGTGATGTATATACAGTCAGTTGATTTTTCCCGAAGTGTAGGATGCTATTACAATGAAGCGACACACGAGGGCGCCCTAACTAGCTCACAGTAAGGTAGGGATGTGATAAAACATTAACTATTGCAGTCTATTTCATAGACACTGGAAAATTCTAGCCAAGTGAGCCACACTCACACTACAATCCATAGAATTTAATGTTACTTTAATTGATTTTGAAATCATTCATATAAGTTTAGCTATCAGAATGGCCTCATGACAGGGGAAGATTAATATGGTGATGAGATCTGTGGAATTCTATTATCTAACATTAAATGTATTAGGCACCTGCTATGTACCAGGCATGGACCCAGATCTTGGGGATAAAATGCTGCATGAGACAAGATGCAGTTCTCAGGGAGTGTGTGGTCATTTCTGAGTGTGTGTGTGCTCAAGTGTGTTCACACATCCACACACGTGCAGTAAATATTGTCTAGCACGGTGGCCTCACTCCTCTCTGCCACCAGCCACAGGGGACGCCCTGTTCTGCAGCAAACTCCAGCCCATTAGCTCTGGCTGGAAATAGCATTTCTGACTGTAAATGAGACCAAGTGACGTCATTGGCTTAGGGATGACCTTGAATATTTCTGACTTACAAAAGTCATGCTCAAACTTCAACATTTAAACTTCTCTCAGTGATAGCTACACACCTCACAGCTGGTGGGGAAAAACCCTGTGTCACCTTCTGAGCTGACTGTTCTGATGTGTACCTGGCATTAGAGTGATCAGTTTTAGATGCTGTCTAAAGTGATTCCATTCATCAAAATCCTTAGTCCTTGCCTGTCTAAAAATTAAGTTAGAATGCTTTCTGCAGTTATCAGTAGGTTTTCCTTCTGAAGTGTTGACTAACTTTGGACTTTTGTTAAATCTGAAAAAAATGTGACTGTTTTCCGTGAAATTCGAAACATTTGTGCGTTGAGACACTCGAATTCTGAGATAAGTAAACAATGGTCCCTCATCTCTGGGAGCACACAGCTGAGTAGGAGTGGAAGCACTCTAGGATAATAATGACAGTGAAGAAAGCAGAAGATGTAAATGAAGGACAGGAGGTATTAAGCACCTAAATGAGCCAGGCACAAAAGCATAGGACGAGTAAGATACTGTGCCTGATTCAGTGAGGCAAACCATCACTTATTGAAGGTTTACTCTGAACCACTTTGAGAAAACACTTTTATGTGCATTTTCCAGTTCTGACAACAACTATCTGAAGCATTATCATTATGATACAGTTGAAGAAACGTGTTTAGAGAAGATAAAGTCTCATCTCCAACTCTGTTTGGCACACTAAAGCCAGTTCTTTATAACTATACTAGAGTGCCCGGGATTCACATTGCCCAGGAGTTAGTGTGGGAGAGGTGTGTTGTTCTGTTTGTGTTTTGTTTTGAGGGAGGGAGGGTGCAAGAGAGAAGGTGTGAGTGGGAGAGTGGCAGAGGGAGAGAGAGAGAATCTTTTTTAAAAAATATTTTTAAAGTTTATGTATTTATATTGAGAGAGAGGATGCAAGCAGGGGAGGGGCAGAAAGAGAGAGACTCTTAAGTAGGCTCCACGATCAGCACGGAGTCCAAGGTGGGGCTCAATACCGCCACCCTGGGATCATAACCTGAGCTGAAATCAAGAGCCAGACACTCAACGGACTGAGCCCTTTTTTTTGGAAGGGGGAGGAAGTTTTTAAAGAACAAAGTTAGCATATACCAAATCAAAATAAAGGTCCTATGGGAAAAATGGGAGGTATGTTCAGAGAGCTATTTATTAGCAAAGTACAGAAAGATGGCTTCATGCATTGTAAGAGTTCAGTAAGTACTTTCGGATACCCGTGGGATTAAATTGACGGAAATTCCTAGAGCCCTATCTGTAGCTATGGCTGTGCCTCTCTTCTCCCTTCTTCCATACCCAACTCATCTTCACTTTCCTAAAAATTGGAGGCACTTGTTTGAGTGGGACTTGATTTAGCCATAAGACAGTTTTTTCTGACTTGGTGCAAGAAGCCGTGAAGCACTGTTGGCAGAGTTGATGCATGGTGCCATCTTGCCCGTCCGACAGTGGGCTAGATGAGAATGAACTGAGTCTAATGAAGTGAGTGCATTCAGGCCCTCTTGTTGTGTGTTTTAGAGACCCCGCTGGCTTTCACCAGTGCACTGGGTTGCACAGTCATGACCAACCTGAAGAATACAGAGGCTCCACCCAGTTGTCTTACCCCTGAGGGAATTCCTGAGGTCCATCACATTTCCCAAGATCCTTTGCCCTACAGCATCGCATCAGCTTCAGCTGTTCAGAAGATTAGAGAACTAGAGACTATAATTGTCATAGACCCAGGTAAGAAACAAAGTGTTCACACCTTAATGACTTGGAGAAATTCATCATCGAAGTAACGGTCAGTGAAAAAGGCAGCATGCAAAGTACATGCATCTATAGTACGAATTTTTTATGAAAAGAAGAATTTATTCCTCTTTATTTAACTAGCACTATCAAAGAGAAGAAGTTGCTGTTTTACCAAGAAAGTAGGCATAGGCTTGGGGCACCTGGGTGGCTCAGTCGATTAAGCGTCCAACTTTGGCTGAGGTCATGATCTCACGATTCGTGAGTTCAAGCCCCACATCGGGCTCTGTGCTGACAGCTCGGACCCTGGAGCCTGCTTCAAATTCTGTATCTCCCTCTCTCTCTGACCCTACCCTGCTCTCGCTCTCTCTCTCTCTCTCTCTCTCTGTCTCAAAACTAAATAAATATTTAAAAAAATTTAGGGGCACCTGGGTGGCTCAGTCAGTTAAGCATCTGACTTTGGCTCAGATTGATCTCATTGTTTGTGAGTTCAAGCCCCCGGGCTCTGTGCTGACAGCTCAGAGCCTGGAACCTGCTTCAGATTCTGTGTCTCCCTCTCTCTCTGACCCTCTCCTGCTCACACTCTGTGTCTCTCTCTCTCTCAAAAATAAATAAACATTAAAAAATTAAAAAAAAAATTTAAACAGATATTTAGAATCCAAACTCTTTTTAAAAAAGTTGCAGAAATTAAGATACTTGTTGAGTGGTCTTTCCCCTCCACCCCCACCTACATATACAAGGGTCAGCTGCCTAAATTCCCTCTTTGCCTCTACTGAGCATTCCCACAGTGTGATTTATTTTATTTTATTTTATTTTATTTTATTTTGTTTTATTTTATTTTATTTTAGAGAGAGACAGAGCATGAACGGGGGAGGGTCAGAGAGAGGGAGACACAGAATCCGGAACAGGCTCCAGGCTCAGGCTGGGAGCCTGGCCAGGGGCTTGAACTCTGAACCAGAGATGGTGACCTGAGCCAAAGATCAGCGCTCAACCGACTGAGCCACCCAGAAGCCCTAATTTTATTTTATTTACTTTAAGTTTATTTATTTTGAGACAGAGAGAGACACAGCATGAACGGTGAGGTCAGAGAGGGAGACACGGAATCTGAGGCTCAGCGAGTGCATCGAGCACAGCGCAACTTCGGGCTACGAACTCTGGACCGTGAGTCTTGACCTGAGCGGGGATTGGCAGCTAACCATTGCAGAGCCACCCAGGCGCCCCCACAGTGTGGTTTTTTTAAAAATGTTTATACTGTGTATGAATCCCCCAAAAATGCACCAAAATTCTAATGTTGATGATCTCTGGGTAGTTCGACTATGAATTTTTGGGTTTTTTTATTTTTTTTTTAATTTTTTTTTCAACGTTTATTTATTTTTGGGACAGAGAGAGACAGAGCATGAACGGGGGAGGGGCGGAGAGAGAGGGAGACACAGAAACGGAAACAGGCTCCAGGCTCCGAGCCATCAGCCCAGAGCCCGACGCGGGGCTCGAACTCACGGACCGCGAGATCGTGACCTGGCTGAAGTCGGACGCTTAACCGACTGCGCCACCCAGGCGCCCCGAATTTTTGGGGTTTTTATTTATGTTTTTTTCCCCAAAATTGTCAACACTAAAGATAAGAGGGACTTTGGAAGGTGAGCTTATTAACTGGGCACATTGCCAGCAGGACTCAGTTGGGACCGGGTAGGTAAGAAAAGAGGGAGTATGGTTCCTAGCTAGTCAACTGGCACCATTTAAACAAGTCACCCCTGGGTTTCAGTGTCCCTAATCCCATCTTTTTGTGCCATTGCCCTGAGGTTGGGTGCAGAATAGGCTGTGCTGGGCAACAGAGGTGGGGGCGGGGGGCTGGGTTGCCACTCGCAGATTCTGGTAGGGCAGGACCCTGCAAGAGACAGCCTCACAAGAGTTTGGAAGCAACATGTATATTGTATATTGAGTCTCAGAGAAAGGACATTCCTTCTATGGCTTGCGGTCTGCTGGCTTTCTAGACATGAGATCCACTAGGGGTCTTCTGGTTGCAGGTAGGAGGAGGTTGGCTGTAAGCCAGTCGAGGGGCTTTTCTCTTTCCCCTGCAGCACCATTTGTTAAGAGCCAATGTCTAATTTTTAAACATACGGCCAGCAGAGGGCGCTGATGTGCATAGAAATTCCATCAATTTGCTAGCTAGTGCTCCCCAGAGAATTAAGGTGCAGCCTTCCCAGCTGCTCTCCCCGTATGTTAAAAAAGCTTTGACACATTTCAGGGCGCCTGGGTGGCTCAGTTGATTAAGCCATTAAGCGTGATCTCATGGTTTGTGGGTTTGAGCGCTACATCCAGCTCTGTGCTGACAGTGTGAATCCTGCTTGGGATTCTCTCTCCTCCTCTCTGCCCCACCTCTGTGTTCTCTCTTTTTCTCTCAAAATAAATAAATTTTTTTAAAAATTTAAAAGCTTTGACACATTTCGTCTTATTGAATTCTTCCAGTGACCCTATGAGACAGCTATTATTAACTTTAACAGATGAGGAAACTGAGGCATATAAGGTTAAGAAACTTGCCCAAGTCCACCTAGCTAGCAGATGGTCGGGGCAGATATTGAATCCACGCTAACAGACTCCAAAGCCCACGATCAACAAATGTTGGATAAATTGGAATCTGAGTTTAAGTCGTATATCATGGTCCCACTGGGCCAGTTAAAACAGTGCTCTGGTCTCTCGTGGCTCACACCCCATTTCTTCTGCACCTTCTCATGGGCTGTAATTCTAGACTTGGGAGCTCTTTGCACTTTGAATGTCTGGCAAAGGCATATAGTGGTCTCCCTGCTGGCCCATCTGATCCCTGTTTCCTAAGCAGATACCTGGATTGATGGTGGTGGGGCCCCTGTGGAGAGCAGAGGGGTAAGGTCAGCCTGCAGACATCAACCCTCCTGGCCAAAGTCCCAGCACCTAGACAGAGCTGATGACAGTAACATCAGTACAGAGAGCAGCAGCTGGGCAGAGTCATAGAGCAGCCAGCCAGGGTGCCTTTTTATGTTAAATAATACTGTGGCCAAGAATCAAATAGCTCCAGGACCAGCAACCAGCCTTAAAAATGTCTGATCTCAGGGTGCCTGGGTGGCTCAGTCAGTTGAGTGTCTGACTATTGATTTCGGCTCAGGTCATGGTCCCAGGGCTGTAGGATTGAGTCCAATGTTGGACTTCTCGCGAAGCATGGAGCCTACTTAAGATTCTCTCACTCTCTCCCTCTGCCCCTCTCCCCAGCTCATGCTCTCTCTTTCTCTCTAAAATTAAAAAAAAAAAAAAAAGTCTTCTCTCTCCCCTGGGTTTGGGATCAAAGGTCTACATTAGCAAAATTTCCTTCAAAACCACAGGGCATAGCTTTTTGATTTTTTGTATGTCTGTTAGGTTGTTCGTTCATTCATTCATTCATTCATTCATTGGTTCTGCAAAGAGTATGGTTTCTTTTACATATAAACCCACAGTAAATTTGAGATCTATACCTATCACAGGTGCACCTTTAAGGACATATGCATATACAGAGTTGAATGCTTATGGCTATATATATATATAGAGAGAGAGAGAGAGAGAGCACCTCCTACATAGTTGATCTCCTGGGTGGATTTTTTTTTTTAATTTCTGCAATACTTTCTCCCTCACAAACATTCTTATCCAGGCTATATCTCTTCCACTCAGCACAAGGGTCATAAGGGAAGATGAATTATTAACTCTGCCATTAGCTCAGATAAAAAAGTAAGTAGGAAGCAAATTTACTGTAGACCCAGCACACCCTAACTTACTAAGAATGACCTAGGAGGCCATCCACAAAGCCCCCCTTCGGTGCTTAGTCAGACTGTGTCAAGGTTTGAAGCATGAGGGTTGGGGGAAAGGCAGATTCATGACTGTCCGGATGTGCCAATATGGTCTATTAAGGAACATCTTTAATCCCCAAGAACAATAGATGCTTTTGATTCCTACTATGTTACATAAGCAGATACAAGATTAATGGTGGTATACTGAGCATTACTCACTATTAGAGCCACTCAGTCATTTTTGAGACGACGTTGGCTTGCATTTGAGGTGCCTGGAGAATATGAAAGAACACAGCGTTCATAGTGACGATGCTTCTCTCATAATAAAATCATCGCAAATGATGAAATCATACACTGCTCCAAATTTGACAAAGTTCTCTCTCTCTCCTCCTCTCACTTTTGTTATCACATACTATGAAATAGGTTACATTCCGATTTCTTTCTTTGAAAATGTTCTTCTTTCCTTCCACCAACAGCAGTTCATACTCGTTGGAGAAGCATCAGAAAATAATGAACGTAAACAGGCAGTAAAGATGACCAGAATCGGGGCACCTGGGTGGCTCAGTCGGTTTGTGAGATCGAGCCCCCCGACTCAGGCTCCGTGCTGACAGTGCAGAGCCTGCTTGGGGTTCTCTCTCTCCCTCTCTCTCTCTGCCCCTTCTCTGCTCTCTCTCTCTCTCTCAAAAGAAATAAATAAACATTAAAAAAATTACCAAAATCTCATCCCAATTAACCATTATCAGCCGTTCAATATTTGCCCTTAAAGTCTTTTACTTCAGTCTTAAACCTGTAAGACTGAAGAAATATATAGAAAGAATATATATATATAGAAAGAATATATATATAGAAAGAATATATATAGAAAGAATATATATATTCTTTCTATATATGTAAACAAATTGTAAATATATTTTTCCTTTTATTTTGCAAACACCCTTCCATGTCATTAGCTTTCTACAACATCCTTTCTAATGTTTGCCTAGAATTCCATTTGAGGAATGTGCCACCATTTATATTATTATCCTGTCACTTGGCACCACAAACAAGGCTGTGATGAACGCCTTCTGACTATGTGTGTGGACCCCCCCACAATCACTTTATGAGGGTAAATTCCTACCCGTGAATTGCTGGTGCCACTAGAATGTGCCAATCTAAGGTCAGAGTGCCCTCCAGACAAATGTTCAGTTGGCGCTCCTACCGGAGGTATGTGAAGGGCCCTTTCCCTGCACCTGGACCCCCCCATGCTCCACTAGGAAACTGAGGTCCAGAGCAATCCAGGGATGAGGCCAAGGTCACACAGCTACCATGTTCCGACACCTGGGCTTGAGTATAAGTTTCTGGATTCTAAGTCTGGAACTGTCCCCCCACAACAGAAAGCCCAACCCTGTGTCCCTTCATGTTCTCCAGGCAGCTCAAGGCCGAGCTGACCTCTCTGGCTGCGTCCCTCAGCCCACCTCTCGTTTCAGCCACAGCTTGTGGGGGAAGTTCTGAGCCACACCCTGCCTTCATGGGGTGCAGATATGATCTGGGGTGCCCTGAATACGGACAGGGTCATGATGAAATGTGACAGGCCCTGGGAGGCTGTGCTGCCCAGTTGGGACCAGGTTGACAGTCACCAGTAGGCATCACAGCAGATGCCGTTGGCGCCCCACCTGTCTCCCCTGCCCCTAGGGGTTCACCTGCTGCTGCAGTGGGGGGTTCCCAATGGGACAGCTCACCCACTTAGTCTCACAACTCTCTCTCCTCCACCTGAGCATGTCCTTGTACCTCCAGACCCAGCACAGCAGGCACAGCCCCAGGTGATGGGGAGTTTATGTCCTGATGGGTAACCTGCACCCAGCAGGGGACAGGGGCAGGTGCCTCAATGCCCAGTCTCCCTGTCCTCTAGCAGGACAGTCCTGAGGTGTGTACCCCACAGTTTCCTAGAGCATCTCCAGCGGGATCAGGCCCCAGCTGCCTTTGGGGTTGATTTGCTCACTCACGCATTCTTTAGCGGCTTTTCTCCCTTTTTTCACACTTCTTCCATCTTCGGACTTCATGTTCCTGGGCTCACCTCCCACTGAAATCCCTGCCCCCAAGTCCATGTCTCAGGGCCTTCTTCTGGTGACTCCCCGACGAGGGCAGCCCCATTGCCTCTCCTCCTTTGACGTTCTTGTACGAGTTAGGATTTGCTAAGAGCACGATAATAAATTGACCCCAAGATGCTTTCCTCAAATACAGTACAAGTGTGTGGCTCTCACGCAACTGTCCAGGGCAGGCCTTCCCAGGTGAGTGTTCATGTTCAGCAGGAAGGGGGACCTGCCCCCACCAGAAGCTCTGCCATCACACCCCGTGACCCCCAGCAGGCGCTGGTTGTCGCACCCCAGCACCCGAGAAGAGGGGTAGGCAAGGAGGTGTGTGGCAGGCCCAGAGGGGGTGCACATGACTTCCATTCACATTCCCTTTGACCCTCTCCGAATGCTGCAGAGAGAACCCAGTCCTGTGCCCTCCCCCTCCCCCACCCCCACTAACTGGAATTGCTGCTGGGCAGAGGTTGACCGGCTACCCTTTGTGAGAGGGGACAGAGGAGAAGGCATTCCAGGGAACGACCAGTCGTCTCTGCCACACCCCTCAAATCCATGTGAGAAACAAAAGGAAATCAAAAACCAAACCACTGTTTGCCCAAGTTTCGACTCGAAACACAATGACGTTGTTTTATGATTTTTTTTTTCCAAATAATTTTAGGCCACTGGAGGATCGGGCACCTGCTCTGTAAAGGTGAGCTGCTGAGGGCCTCCCTGTCACTGTCCCACGCCCACTCGGTGCTCGTCACCGCCGGCTTCCCCACTCACTTCAACCATGAGCCCCCAGAAGAGACAGACGGCCCATCAGGAGCCATTGCTCTGGCCGCCTGCCTACAGGCCTTGGAGAAGGAGGTCTCCGTGATCGTTGACCTGAGAGCTTCGGGTTTGTTCAAGAAACCTGTTGAAGATGCCGTTGAGCAAGGTGAGCAGCGAGATGAGGGCAGTCCATTTCCCCAAGGGGACCTCCGCGGGCAGAGGGTGGGGGTCAGCGTGCGTGGAACTCCTGCCCAGCACCCAGCACAGGGCTGTGCACTGGGCAGGGGCGTTTGTCGTAAAGCTCAGAACAACTCTCTGGTATAAGCAGCATTATATCTGCGTTTTATGGATGAAGAGGCTGAGCCTCTGAGAAGTCCAGGTGATTTCCCCGGATGGGAATGGTGAGCTGGGGTTTGAACCCCGGTCCTTCAGGCTCCAGGTCCCAAGGTCCCACTGTGCACCTGCTCCCCTCCCTACAAGAGCCCTGGTGACCTGCAGAGGACTCAGCAACCCTGGCCAGCCCTGGACCCCCGCCCCCCAGTCAGAGGCGGGATAGTCAAGAACAGAGTGGCCGAAGGGCTCAGGTGGCAGAGTCCCTCCCGGGGCCGCATGGGTGGGGATGCCCCATGCTGCACAGGTTCCCAGAGCACCCAGGTGGCACGAGAGCTGCAAACAGCGCTGGGGTGAGGCTGTGCTGCTGACGTCTGTGCACCACGATCGGCCTGGGGGGCACTGTGAGCAAGTCTCTTCACCTGTCCTCCCTTCCGCAGGTGGTGTTTGGGCATCAGCTGGGAGCCTGGTGCTCTACCCTGCTTCCCATTGCCTACCTCTCTGTGTTCTTTAGAGACACATTTTTTCCCTTTAGCCTCTAAAAAGGGCTTCAATGAAGCTCTTCGTGAAGATGAAAAAATTCTGGAGAGGGATGGTGGGGTGCTCGTCAAACAACGTTGCGAATGTGTTCCATGCCGGGCAAATGCACACGTAGAAATGGCTAAGAGAGTAAACTTCACATTATGTATTTTACCAAAATCACAACGTTTTAAAAGTTTTTAAAAGAGTGCAGGTTGGAGCCTCGGGGTGAGAAATCCATTAGCCACACAAATGGAGAAGTCAAGTAGACAGATCTACGAGTCAAGGTCAGGAGAGCAGTCTGGGCTGGAAAGATAAATCGGAGAGCAGTTGGCATATTGATGGTCTTTTAAGTCCAGACACAGGGTGAGATCACCGAGGGAATACGAGACGGAGAAAAGGGCCCAGGATTGCCCCCCCTGGGACGCTCCCCAGGGAGAGGCTGAGGAGAAGAGGGGGAGCCAGCAGGGAGATGGAGAAGGGAGTAGCTGCCCTGAGGACACAGGAAAACTTACCGACTGTGTTGTCAACACGGAGAAGGGACGGGCCGCGGTGGCAGCCACCGCCAACAGGCTGGCAGTCTTTTTTCCATCTGACAGCCGGGTCCGGTATTTTTAGCCGCGCGCGTTCCCAGAAGCAGGTCTGCTCTCTGCTCACCTGCTCGCTGGCTCCAACTCCGGCGGCACAAGAGCTCAGAACTGGGGCTGGCTCAGCCGGGCGGGTTAGCAGGTGGAATCTACTGTGTTAGGTTGTGCAGAAATTTCATTACATGTGGACGAGGAAAGCAAAAGAGATTTGGCCCTTTTGATGAAAACTATTTCGGTTCTTTTTATAACCAAAGGCTGCACATGTTTAAAGAAGAAAGAGCTTAGTCATTTCTTCCCTGTCTTGAGCGTAAATGGACCAAACTGATAAATTGGTTCTTCGTAGCTCAGGTGCAGGTTCTCATCTTGCCCTGACATTCCTTTGCAGGGGCTCTTTCTGTGTGCCCCCCTCTTGGAGGTATGTTATGTGCCCTGCCCTGTTTGGCCCCTGGTACCCCTTCTTACGGGAATCCTGTATCCTTGATCCAACGTCAAGAAAGTAAGAAACCACCAGCCTTAACTTAGCAACTACTATGCACCGGCCTCCCCCAGCTCAGTGCTTGGCACATATCCTATCACTGCATCCACAGCACTCCTGGGGGCAGGGAGCATGATTAACCCCATTTGCAGAGGAGGAAACCACAACTAAGGGAATTTCTGTGACTTGTCCAAGATCACACAGCTAGGAATGTAGCTTCCCACCCAGGGGTGTTTTAGTCAGTCTTCGTGCCGGGCCACCAGGCTGCTCCTCACAGCACAGAAAGGGGCTGGATCTTTCAGCCTGCTGTGACCACCCCCCGCACCCCCCTCCCTGCCCGTTCCCTGGCCTGCCCCATGTAGAATGTGCTCAGTGAGTTTCCCTTAGTGGACTGACTGCCCTCCTCTTGTCTTTCCCCCTTAGACATGGGGTGGGGCTGGAGAGAGGTTGGAGGGAGGCCCTTTAGGGTCTCTGACAGTGATTCTGGCCCCTCCACCCACTGTGGCAGTTCCCAAAGGGCTTGGGGCAACAACACGGTGAAGCTGGGCCATCCCGAATCCACATTTGTTATATAAGCACATGGTCGTAACATAGACCTTACCTGGGCTGGATTTATGTGAGGGGTGTGAGGGGCTGATGACGGAGATTATGACACCCCCTCTGGTCCACAGAGCAGTCTGGGGGGTCCTGCAGAACCCGTGGGACCATGAGCGCTGGGTCCGATCCCTGTCGCAGGCCCTCTGTTAGGCGTCTCAAGCTCTGCGGGGAGACCTCATCCTGGGCCAGTGAAGGCGCATGGATTCCACCCCAAACTGCTGTGAGGTCTTAAAGAAAATCAAGTCAATTTTATTTTTATGTATTTATTTTTTTAAGAAAGATTGAACTAGTTTCAATCTATCCCAAGAAGGAGACTATTTTTTTTTTTAATGTTTACTTATTTTTTGAGATTCAGAGAGAGACAGAGCTCGAGCCGGGGAGAGGCAGAGAAAGAAAGAGACACAGAATCTGATGCAGGCTCTAGGCTCTGAGCTGTCAGCACAGAGCCTGAAGCGGGGCTAGAACTCACAAAACCATGAGATCACGACCAGAGCAGAAACCAAGGGTCAGATGCTTAACCGACTGAGCCACCAGCTGCCCCAAGTCAGTTTTATTTTAATTTGGAATTTGTGTGTGCTTCCCATGTATTCTACAATAATATGTATTATTATTGTAATTAGAAAACGTGCCTTTTTTGAGAGTCAAACTCACTTTTGGAAATCACTTTACTATCAGTAGCTAACTCCAGGCCCAGACTCTGGAACCTCTCTTCTGTTGTTCTCGAACTTCCCCAAGGGTGTGCAGGGTGGGGAGGGTGGGGACCAGATGAGAACTTAGGGTGGAAACTGAGGTCGTGACACTGACCTCCATGTTCAGCTTTGCCTAAGTTATTTAGCATCTCTGAGCCTCAGTTTCCCTCTTCTGTAAAATGGGATTCATAATGGTTCTTATCACATAGAATTGTTGTGCCAGTTAAATGAGAGCATGCATGTCACATACTTAGTGGAGAGCTGCCTCCCTGTCACCTGGGCACCTAAATATGTCCTCAGCGCTCACAAGGACAGTGAGCCAGAATAGGCCTCCGATCACATGGTGTTATGGACATCTACATGCAGCCTGTTTGCTAGCCCACAATATTGGTGCCACTAGCCCAGTTCCACTCAGGGTCACACACTCCACAAGCCCTGGGGTTTACTCACGACTAAAAGGAAGCAAGTATTTTTGCATCCAGGTCTTGGCTTTCCTAACAAAGTATTCTACAGGTAGGTGCTGCTCACCCATGATGATGATCCTCTCCAAAGAAGCTTTTGAAAAGCCAACGTGAATTTCCAAAATGCAGCACTAGGGCTGATGCGTCCACCCTCTGCCTTTACTTTCAAGGGGTCCTGAAGACACAGATCCCCATATTAACTCTCCAAGGTGAATCAGTGGGAGCTGCTCAGGCATTTCTCTGCAAAGATGGGGACCCCAAGTCACCCAGGTATGTATGTCACCTCCCAGTGTGAGTGGTGGTGGTGGAAAAGCCCACACGCTATTAACTTTGACAACTCCAGAGAGGACAGAACCTCGGAGTTCTGATGGGCCAGGCTGGAGGGTCTCAAGCTGTACTGGGGGCTTCGCAGAGGGTCTCTGGGAGTGGCAGGTCCCTGAGAGATGGCATGTCTTCTCCGTAGAGGGAGACAATAGGACAATTATAAAAAACAAAACCTTAACAGTTTCTCAAACTGGGTCATGACCCATCAGAGGGCAGTGAATCATTTCAGTGGGGGTAACCAGCACCTTCGGAAGGTGAAACAGAAATAGAAATACCATTGTATGTTTTAAGTCATCATGTTAAGTACTGTCATGAAACTTTATGCAAGTGTGTGTGCCTTTTTAATGTTTATTTTTGAGAGACAGAGACAGAGTGTGAGTGGGGGAGTGGCAGAGAGAGAGGGAGACACAGAATCCGAAGCAGGTTCCAGGCTCTGAACTGTCAGCATAGAGCATGACACGGGTCTTGAACTCACAAACTGTGAGATCATGACCTGAGCCAAAGTCAGACGCTTAACTGACTGAGCCACCCAGGTGCCCCCAAGTATGTGTATTTTTTTTTACTGTGTGTTATGATCAAACATTTTGAAAAATATTTTTATTGTAGTTAGGGATGAATTTCAGATCTTATAATTTTTAATACCGTGTTCTGCAAATGTTTTTGACAAAAGTAATACATACTACATTTTGCATTGCAAAACAGTACACACGTATGCACACACAACTAGAACAGAAGATTAAAAAAAACAGTATTTTCTGACATTTTCTATTCCAGTCTGTTCTATTCTGTTCTTCGGTGTTCTATTTTACTTTTCTGGAAATGCTGACGTGGCCTAATTTATTTCACAACCCACTAATGAGTGTCCCATTAGAACTTAAAAACACTGACTTAATAGGCCTGGAGGGCATAGCTTTACTGCGCGTCACAGCAGAATTTGGTGATCATAATGACAACCCTGAGTCACCAATGAAAAGTTCAATCATGGAGCTGATATGCTATTTAAAGCTGCAGGAACATGTATGATTCATATTAGAGATGTTTCTATTCTGCAAACAGTTGGCATATAAACAAAGCTCCGAAACTCCGGGGAGAAGCTGGAACATTCTCTTGTGTGGGATCCCCGATGGCAGTTAACACAGGTGCTGCTCTGCTGAGTGGAGAGAGGTGGAGAGAGGGTTCTGCTCTCTTTGGAGAAGATGCATTAACTCTTTCCAGGGAGCAGGCTTCCCAGGAGTGGATTACTTCCCACTGTAGCTAAATGGACCCTGCAGGCCTAGGAAAAAAAAAAAAAAATCAATCCACCTTCATGAGGTGTATAACTGAATTCTCCTGGGGGGAAGATCCAGAAATGGTGTTCTCCCTGCAGAACAGAGAATGTATTAATCTCATTTGGAGGTCTTGTTGTAAACAGCTTTTTCAACGACATTGATACAGATCTAGAGGAAATTCAGGGTCAAAGCTCTTTCCTCTAGGGGCGCCTGGGTGGCTCAGTCAGTTAAGCGTCCGACCCTTGGTTTCAACTCAAGTCATGATGTCACGGTTCGTGGGTTTGAGCCCTGCATCAGGCTCCACACTGACAGCGCAGAGACCTCTTGGGATTCTCTGTCTCCCTCTCTCTCTCTCTGCCCTTTCCTGCTCACTCTCTCTGCCTCTCTCTCAAAATAAATAAATAAACTTAAAAAAAAAAAAAAAGCTCCTTCCTTTTGTTAATTCTGCTTCTCAGTGGTTGCCTTTTTCTGCCGGGGACATGTAGCCTCAGGATTACATTCCAAAACCTACCCGGTGACCTATTCATCCAGGCATATATGATGTCACCACATTATGCACAACCAGAGGGCACAGACCAGGCATAAAGATTTTGTTTTTTAAAAACATGTACAGGGGCACCTGGGTGGCTCAGTCGGTTAAGCGTCCGACTT